CATTATTAAGGAGAGAATACAATAGAAGAACTCGAATTAAAAGGACAGATGATAATGATTGACATTGCATTTAAATTTTACGTTATTTTCAACATAAATGCATTGACAATAAATCACATAGATCGTGTAGTATCCTGTACAAATTTCAGATAAATATACTTCCAATAACTGTGTCAGGGTACGGACTTATTGATTAAACCGTTTCACACTCTTCTTGCGATCAATACTGCCACGACAGAATTTATTAAAATTATCAATAAGATTAGATACGTTTGCCTATCGTCCAGTTCACGCTCCTCTCTGGTCTTTTGAACAGGAGTAGAGGTTTTTCCCTTGTTCCATGTTTCCTATTTAGGATTGGTTTTCCGGAACCTTCTAATGTTTACATCAACTCTATACCACTGACATCTCCGCGTGAACTCTGACATTTTATTTCGCTAATTAAATATAGCGTTATATATTCTTCATTGGAGAATTAATGATCTTTCATGTTATCTTGCCCTTTCTAACGCAAATACAACTCTACACAGTAACCCTCTACCTTGAGGGATTCTTGTGCCTTGTATTGGAGGAGCATAAGTATTATATATATATATATATATATATATATATATATATATATATATATATATATAAAGTGGTAAATATATTTTTCTGTTTTCTTTTTAAATTTGTAGGTCTGATGAATTGGATCGTATTTACGATTCCAATGGAATAAATTATGACCATGGAATATTAGTGTTTAAACCTTTTTATTATGATTATATATATATATATATATATATATATATATATATATATATATATATATATAAACATAGGTAACTACATTCGTCTTGAAAACCTTCGGTTTCTTGATTTGCTAATGATCAAATCAATTTCAAAGGAAAAAAAGGTTTTTAAAAAGAAAGAGCTATGAACATGAACGTCTGTCGAATATAATCGTACAGCATACAGGTCCAAAGCCCAATGAAAAAAAGCAGATACGAGTAATCAACTAACTTTCCTGACGATCCGCTTAGGTGAAACCTTGGTAGGTTTGTCTGGCTCTCTAGGTTTGACTATATATATATATTTTATATATATATATATATATATATATATATATATATATATATATATATATATATAATTATTTATTTAAAAATATGATTCCAACACGTTACTTTTGTATCGAGCACTATTTTTTTAAAATAATACAAAAACACTAAAGAACTTTGGATTATTTACCTAACCAGTTCTTTCCTATTTTCTATATATTTTACACACACACACACACACACACACACACACATATATATATATATATATATATATATATATATATATATATATATATATATATATATATATATATATAGGAATCTACGAAACTGATCATGGAAACCTCTTTTTGTTTCGTTTCGTTCAAATTATCCGCATTATATACGATTTGTATTTATTTTATATTTTATAATTATTTTTTTATTTATTTTTATTAGTTACTATTTTTGTTTATTATTTACAAGTTATGTTTTTAATTATTTATTGTTGATACTAAAAGACGAGGATCAATAGATTTTATTCTTACGGTAATTCTGAAAATATGACATTTTGTCAAAACATTTTTCCTTCTGTCTAATTTGATCGATTACCACATCGAGGATTTTCAAATAGTGTTTTCTTTTGTGGCTAAATTCGGTGGTCGAACAATACTTATTTACAATACTGAACAAGTCCTCATTAAGTCGCATACAATTTTGCTAGCGCGCGAAAGCGTGGAACTTGAAAGCCCGAACTTGTCTTATAAATTCAAAGCGAAATGAAACACTTATATTATAACACACACACACACACACACACACACACATATATATGGTGGGGGGGGGGCTTTTCATAAAACAAGGAAAGAAGAATCCTTAACAACACCAGCTATGAGCACTGACATAATGAACTGGTGGTATTCGGTAACTTTTAAACTGCTAACAATAGCGCATACATACTGTTTAAAATAGTACAGACCAAATCCTTGAAACTGAGTGAGAGATTAGCCAAAAGTGCTCGTTACGAACAATCAACACCCGATAGAAACGTAGCTTGCCGATCATTTTTAATGAAACATGCATTAAAGAGGTATTGCTACCAAAATACTCAACTATATACTCTCTCAATAATAATGTTTTCTTTTCCCCATAACGCTCCATCTCAATAATTTCTTGCATCTTGCATTATTGCCCTGCATGATGTGAAAAGATAAAAAAATATATATATATATATATATATATATATATATATATATAAAATTGAACATAGAAGTCAACACTTAGAGGCGACAGTTTGTTTCATGCTAGATGCAATCATCGTCTTAAGACTATATTTCTTCATATATATATATATATATATATATATATATATATATATGTGCATAATTTATATATACAAATGAAATGTGAACGGCTAAAATATAAATTCAAACGTTCACAACAATAAATAAAAAAAATAGGGCTCAATACAATAGTAGAGCGATAATTCTTTATTATAGGATATTACATACGAATTCGAATGTAATATCCTATAATAACGTATATATATATATATATATATATATAGATAGATAGATAGATAGATAGATAGATAGATAGATAGATAGATAGAGATTGATAATATTAGTGGTAAATATACACATACATATACGAAATATATAAATATATATATATATATACATACATACATACATACACATACATGTATATTTTTTGAATAAAAAATTCCAAGAGGATAGAATCCAGGTAGAACTCAATGTCCAGGACAGAGTAAGGATATAATAAAAAGGCTTAAACACTAAGGTCTGATGAATTGGATCGTATTTACGATTCCAATGGAATAAATTATGACCATGGAATATTAGTGTTTAAGCCTTTTATATATATATATATATATATATATGTGTGTGTGTGTGTATATATATATATATGTATATATAATATCGCACATTGAGTGCTGCTGTTAATAAAAGAGGTGATCAATGTATATTAACGGCGACATAATTTATATTAATAATAAATATACATTTTTTTTCACTCAAAGTAGCACCACTCCGACTTCCACGATGCAATCGTCAGGTCTGTCACCACCTGATTAATTAATATAAATTATAGCTCTGTTATTATACACTGATCACTCTTTGATATGTGTGTGTACACACGCCAATATTTTAGAATTGTTTTTATTGATTTTAATTTCATCTTTCGCTTTGATGTTTGTTCCTACGCCAGACGAGCGCATGTGACAACTTCAGCAAAAGTATTTTGATTCGAGGTAATTAAAACAAACAAATTTCATTAGAAAAAGAGTGAAACTGGTCAGGCATAGCAACAAAATCAACCCTACACACATTACTGAAATTTCTGTCAACAAGAGGAATATGGGT